CCTCCACAACCACCAGGTCATCAATGTGGGGCCAAGGTCCCCCTAGCAAGGCACACTCCCAATGTTGAGGGCATGTGGCCTAATATAGTTCAGGGAAGAACCATGTGGCTGTCCCCTCCCTTTCCCACCCATGCAGGCTGCATGCTCGGATTAAAGGTCTGGTTATGGATTTTCAGGGGCACCCCACACTGTTTCTTTTTAGCATAGAGTTCCCTTCACAGTAGGCAAATATGCATTTTATTGATGACACAGTACAAGGCATTCCGGTACATAGTTTCTATGCTGTAGATACTCTAAGGGCTCTTTCAGATAGGCAGTAATGCTTACCACCCTCTAAAAAGTAATCCGTGGTGCATTGTTTTTTAGAAGAAAGCATAGCTGCTGCTGGCAGGCTTTCGTGATGCCTTTTTTTTTTTTTTTTACTTTTTTTGAAATTGCAGAATGGCCACACTGCAACTGCAAGCCAAGCGAATTCACTTGTTACGAGGTCTATCAAAAGCTGAGAGCGTATTACTGTCGGTGGATGGGTATCTACATGTGGTTATCATATAAATGAAGATTTTAGAATCGAAGAGCACCACATGTAGTATATATTTGATTGGTTGCACGGTTGGATTTTTGGGCATTATGAAAATATATGGACACTTAGAATTTACTATTATTTTGTGTTGTAGTTATGGGTGTGAATTGTTTTATATATATGATGATGAGTTAAATGCATATATTTTACGCATGATTCTATGTTTTGATTTATACGCATATGATACACACATGTCCACCGAGCATAATTTATTATAAGATCTAGTTTTATGTTTTTTTTATGTTTTTCAGTTATGGGTGTGGGACGAGTTAAATGTATATATTTTACTCATGATTCTATGTTTTGACATATACGCATATGATACACGCATGTCCACTGAACATACTTTGTTATAAGATTCAGTTTAGTCATTGTTCTAGATGTATTGTGATGACAGACGCATGCGTTCTATGCATGTTCTGTGTTTGGACATAGACGCATGGGATTGACACATGTCCACCTAATTCACTTTATTGTATGATTTTATGTGATATTCTACGGCACACAAGAATTTACTACTAGGAAGATTTGGCACTGTGCGGCACTGAATCACTTACTTTTTGTGGGAACACAAAAGTGTGAGCGGCAGTACTAACATTAGTTACATACAGCTTATAGATATTTTTTTCTTGCATTAGTTTGCACTAATTTAGGGTGATAGTGTTGAGGTTTATTCACTAATGTGTACAGCTCTGTCAAGCTGTAATGTTAGAATTCCAGTGTGCAGTCACCTGTTTTTATCACCCCCCCACCACCACCACCACTAGTGTGAAAGGGCCTTACTATCTCATTCTTTCATGGACTATACTAAGCATATTTAGGGACCAGCAGCTGGGGTTCAAAACTAATATAACATGCACTGAAGATACATGTGTTACAGGGCAAAAAATATACTTGTAAAGTGTCCATAGGTCCATGTAAGTGAATTAACACAAGAAAATAAATTGGTACACCATTATCCTGGAAGCAGCACATAAAGTGCTTCTACCTGCGTTATTATTGGGTCCCAGCCCAAATTGACCATGCTAATCCTGGTTCCAGTGACTGCTGCTTTTGGGATTGTGGCCATTGTGGGGATGTAGTGGTGGACATGCCCAGGCTTGATAGGTTTTTCGTCTCGAGTCTTTGTCCTGTTCCACCCTCTGTTTCATCTGATCATTTGGAAGGACACCAAACTTGCTTCATTACACTGCCCTATCCAGTGGTTCCAGTGACTGCTGCTTTTGGGATTGTGGCCATTGTGGGGATGTAGTGGTGGACATGCCCAGGCTTGATAGGTTTTTCGCCTCGAGTCTTTGGCCTGTTCCACCCTCTGTTTCATCTGATCATTTGGAAGGACACCAAACTTGCTTCATTACACTGCCGTATCCTGACCTCTATGCTTATCAGCAAAAGTATCTATTTTTTCCGCTCAGGCCTGGAAGAAACCTACAGTTCCTTCCCAAGGTATGGGAGGCAGCATGACGGCACTGATGCATAACGAACAAATGTCTGGCATCCTCAAAGACCCCAATGCCAAGTTCCTCAAAAAGTGGGAACCTTGACTTGCATACACCTTCCCTTCACTTCCCCCTGTATAGCATTGGCAGCCTGTGACTGTTACCCCTGACAATCCCAAGTCCATATTCCTTTGCCCTCCTCCACCCCTTCCCCTTCCTTCCTGTTTTCTTTCTCCTCCTTTTTCTGGGACACCTCTGCCCCTCTTTCTCCCTTCTGGCTTGGTGCATTCTACATATTGTGCTACTGTTAGGTAATTGACTTGTCCAGATCAGACGCTACTGTCCCCGTGGACCCAACCTGGACCCTGGACCTTGTTGTTATTTTTCATTTTTTTGGCACTGTATTTGATTTGATATTTATATGTCATTTCATGCCCCTGCGTAGGCAGACCCAGTGCTTTCATTGTTATTCTTGTTAATTGAATAAAAACTATTGAACCAGAAAAATTAATTGGTAATATGTTGCAAACATCTAATTTAATGGGTCAGCCTAATATTTTGTGAATCCAAAATCAAGTAAAATTTGACTAAGTCAGGAATATTTAATTGGTGTCTGTGCACTTGTAAATACTTAGCTACTTCAAACTCATCCCAGGCTAACCAGCAGAGCCCTCCGTGTCCATGCTCGGGGCAGGGAATTGTTAACCCCTGCTGTAGTCTCAGGACTGTCACCTGTAACACATGACAGCTGATTGATGGATGCTGGGCAGAAATCAGACAGGTAGTGGAAATACAAGGATGGATGACTGTGGAGAAAAAGATAATGTGCCAGATACTGGTGACTAGTGGATAGATAAACATTCTCTATCTCATTTGTTTCCTATGGTACAGTCTTGTAGTTTGACATTTTTTTAATGATAGAAGATAACACTCGTGCATTGTAACAAATTTACCTTCAAACTGGCTCAGAAGACACAGAATATTTGCTGAGTGGCTCTAATTTTATTCCTAGCATTCACTTGACAGCTGGATTCTCTGCTATTTAAACCTATAGGCTATTTCCAGCTTCTGAATCTACAGCAGCTCCACCAGCATTATGACTCTAAATATCATATATACTGTATACCAGTGTTTCTCAACCTTTTTTCAGTCAAGGCACCATTTAAAATTATGGATAATCTCAAGGTACCCTTTAAAATTCTGCACTCTCAAGGCACCCCAATCTAAAATGTAAAAAACTATTCTACACACATCCAGTACACCCAATGTTAGAGGTGATTTATTTTTCCAAAGCAAATACACCTTTGCATACTGATACCGACTAGTATTCCAGTGTGTCTCTCATTTTCTGTCCCTCACTCTGCTAATGTTACCCCAGTGCTGACAGGGAGGTAGGGGAGGGCCAAACAAGGATGTTGTGCATGCACCCTATGTCCTCCTTGACAACTGATGATGTCATTGGTTGTTAGGATGCTGGCAGCTAGAAGGTCATAAACGTGCACAATGAAAACCTGTGGCTTTGTGTACTAAAAATCAGGCTTGATCCACCTGCTGGCTTGTATTCAATTTTTGGGCATTATATCAAGGCACCCCTGAAGAAGTCTGAAGGCACCCCTGAGGAAGTCCGAAGGCACCCCAGGTTGAGAAAGGCTGCTGTATACACTATATACTACCATACAATATGAATCTAAATTACAATTTAAATTCTGTATATAAATAGCCAACAGTGAAAAGCTGATATCTATAAATTTAAAGTAGAGCTCCAGTCTCCTAATCAATTTTATTTATAAAAGCACCCCCACAATTCTTATTACTCCTACTGTATAATTTGGATATTGTAATGCGTGTCTTCATGCACTGTAGTTCTAAATCTTTAATTACGTACATGATCCCGGCAGGTAGGCAGTGACCATTGCTGATGTGGGCATCTGAAGCCCCTCTCCTATTTATTTCCAGGATTCGGTGCAGCTGGCTACCCATCACACACCTCCTGATCTCCTGCCTGTATAGTAATGACACTACATGGTGCACTTTTGTTGAACTTCGGGTTTCCATAGCAATGGCAGTGTTGGCGGACGTTCCTACCCCATTGTTATAGCAAAATGTTAAGCAACATTTCAGGTATTAGCTATCCTGAAGACTCCTGGGACAGATGACGCTGATATCCCAGGATCCTTGGAAATCGCCTATGCATCTGGGATTGGAATTTCAACCTACATACATTAAAAATAGATAATTAGAAATGTAAAAAAAAAGAATTGCCATTTCAGACTTCTCTGTGGGTGGGCATTGCGAACACTTGGATCTTGTAAAAATGGATGGAACTCCGCTTTAACAAACAAAAGCAAAAAGGTAAGATGATCTGTTCAATTTATAGTTAGAGAGGAAACGCATATGAAGAAAAAGAGTTCACAGTAAATGAACCATATAAAATTCCCCTGCATAGAAAAAAATAACTTAAAGTGGAACTAAAGTTTAACTTCAAAAAATAGCACGCAGGTAGGCTGTTTATTGCAAAAGAGACATGCAGTCCACAGTATGTATCATAGTCCTTTTTATACTGCCAGCCAGCAAGAGGAAAAGATGGCTGGCTGTAGGAGACAAAAAGAGGGGAGGGGGAGAGAAGCGCAACAACCACAGGGTAGCATGTAAAGTGTAATTTTTATAGAAAATGTAAGAAAGCACTCACAAAGTAAAAAGGAGTTCAGTATGACTGTCCGGTAGCCTCTGAGACAGAGATCGGACAGGCAACCAATATGCCTTGCCTTGGCCACCGGCAAGGGAGAGGATATTGAATGGAAGCAGGGAACCGATGTCACTGGAGAGCCAAAGCTGTGGATGGAACACAGGGCCCTGGATATGAAGCCACCTTCATATCAGCAGCATATATATATAAATATATATATAGTGGAAATTTCAAGGCCTGATATACAGTATATATATATATATATATATATATATATATATATATATATATACTGTATATCAGGCCTTGAAATTTCCACTCGCCAGTGGCGAGTGGAAATTATGGTGGGGGCGAGTGTGTCCCCCAGGACCGTCTTGCTGAGCAGGTTTGGAGTTCAGACCGGATCTGTCATTGGCACTGGGAGCTGTCAGACTGCTCAATAGCTGAGCGCAGTGAAAGCAAAGCAAGGAGTGTGTGCTGTGCTCTCTGCCTCCCTCTAGAGTGCAGTACCCGGCTCTGTGAGTGAACAACGAAGTACAGCAACTTTTTATAGGGGGTGTGTGTGTGCGTGCGTGTGTACATGTGTGTGTGTTTGTTTGTGTCTGTGTATGCATGTACATGTGTCTGTGTGTATGTACATGTGTGTATCTGTACATGTGTCTGCGTGTATGTACATGTATGTGTGTGTGTACATGTGTCTGTACATGTGTCTGTGTGTGTGTGCATGTTCGTGTGTGTGTGTTTATGTGTATGTATGTACATGTGTCTGTGTGTACATGTGTCTTTGTATGTACGCACATGTGTCAGTGTGTATGTACATGTGTCTATGCATGTGTATTTCTGCGTATGTACATGTATCTGTGTGTATGCGTGTCTGTACGTGCCTGTGTGTGTATACATGTGTGTGTGTGTGTACATGTGTCTCTGTGCGTGTGTGTACATGTCTGTGTGTGTGTATAGGTGTCTCTGTTTGTTGGTGGCGAGTAACTCTTGACTAGTAGCTCAGGACTTGAAATTTTTAGCCCTGTATATATATTCTGGTCATTTGATCTTTTTTGCTGGAAAAGATGGCTGGCGAGTTGCTTATTAGGAAACACAGAAAAGTGATGGCAGAAAAAAGGCAGAGTGGTCCATCGAGTTTTTTTTTTTTTTGTCTTTTTTATTTTTTTTTCATACTTGTTTTGTATTTTTTTTGTTTTGTTTTATTTTTTTTTCCATTAACTTCTTTGGCTGAGTATAAATTTATGTTTGTCCCAAGCAGGTTTGAAGCAATTTACTGTTGACTGGCTCACTACCTCTGCTGGAAGTTTATTTCAAGCATCAACTGCCATTTCAGTAAAATAATACTTTCTAAGATTAAGTAGGAGAAAAAAAGATAACCAGAAGAAAAAAAAACATTAGCATCAGTGGTCAATGGAAGGAAGAAAATGCTTGGCTTTGGTGGTCAATGGCAGAAAAAAATGCTCTATTGGTGCTCTGTGGAGGGAAGGGGGAGCACTGATACTCTGGCGGGGGGGAGGGTGCACTATGGAGGGTGAGGGGGGCACTGATACTCTGGTGTGGGGGGGATGTGTGCACTGTGGAGGGTGAGAAGGGCACTGATACTCTGGTGGGGGGGTGTGCACTGTGAAGGGTGAGGGGGGCACTGATACTCTGGCAGGGGGGGGGGGGATGTGTGCACTGTGAAATGTGAGGGGGCACTGATACTCTGGTGGGGGGGGGATGTGTGCACTGTGGAGGGTGAGGGGGGCACTGATATTCTGGTGGGGGGGTGTGCACTGTGGAGGGTGAAGGGGGCACTGGTACTCTGGTGGGGGGGAGTGTTGAATGTGTGCACTGTGGAGGGTGAGGGGGGCACTGATACTCTGGCGGGGGGGATGTGTGCACTGTGGAGGGTGAGGGGAGCACTGATACTCTGGTGGGGGGGGGGGTGTTGGGGGATGTGTGCACTGTGGAGGCTGAGGGGGGCACTGATACACTGCGGGGAAGAGAGGGGTGGCACTGATGCTCTGTGGATGCACTTTTGCTTGGTGAGGTTAGGGTGGGAGACATTGATATCAGTGGGAGTCACTGGTGTTCAGTGAACTGCTAACTTTTCCACATTGTGTCCCATGCCACTGCCTTCCTTTGCCAGAACTGAAGTGCTCATTTCAAGCAGGAGATAATTCCCTCTGACAGAACAGAAAAGAATCAATGGGACTCTGGGATTCTAACACCCTGGGACCGTCCTGCTAAATGTGGGACTGTTGAGAGGAATGATTTTGGTACTTGTAAAGTAGATTGTGTGGAGACTATATAGGGAATAAACAGGTTACGGGAGCCCTGCCTTGCAATAGGAATATCAATCTTTCCCCAATCTATCCAAAATAGACTAAAATTGTCATTAAAGTGTCAAGCCAAAAAATTAGAAAAAACATTTTTTGCTTGACATACATTTTATTGGTGGGAGATCATGATAACCCCGTAACACCGCACCTCCCGCTCTTTACAGGGTTTCTGATGCCGGGAGGCAAGGTGAGGATTATAATCATGTGATTGGCTGTCACATCAGTCACATGATTGGAAAGCTGCCGATCGTGAGTAGCGATCGTGAGCTTTCCGTTAGGCGGTGGTAAGTGGGTATCGGCTCTGGTTGTTCACATTTGGATAAGCAAACATGCGGCCTCTCGGCATCAAGGCCCACCCATAGAGAGGCTTCATATTTGCGTTCTCTCGCTGCTAACAGGTTAACATGAGTAACATGCTGCGTACACACTACATGAATTTTAGTCGGTTCCTGAGTAGCCGCCCGAAATTCGCTAAGTGGTCGGACCTGTCAGCCACCTCCCTCCTGACAACCTTTGATTGAAAAATTGAATGAGTTGGGCAGAAAATTGTGGGCTGCTGTTCCAGTATTCTGACAGGTGATAGCTGTGGCAGTCAGGATACAATAGCAGCAGATTCCTCCATCTGAACTGTATCACATGGATGGGGAGATCTGTTAGATTATTTCTGTTCAGCATGCAGGTTGAAAAAAACTAACTGATATATACCCAGTTTAAAGAAAGTGGAACATGACTCTAATTCAGTGGTCTCCAAACTACGGCCCTTTGCTTGCCTTTATCCGGCCCTTGAGGCATTATTCCTGCCACTCACACCAAAAATGGGGCACAATTCCTGCCACTGACACCAACAATGGGGCACTATTCCTTTCGCTGACACCAACAATCAGGCACTATTCCTTCCACTGATACCAACAATAGGGCACTATTTCTTCCACTGACACCAACAATCAGGCACTATTCATTGCACTGACAACAAAAATGGGGTACGATTCCTGCCACTGACACCAACAATGGGACACTATTCTTTCCACTGACACCAACAATGGGACACTATTCCTTCCACTGACACCAACAATGGGACACTAATACTTCCACTGACACCAACAATGGGGCACTATTCCTTCCACTGACTGACAACAGTACGGCACTATTCATTGCACTGACAACAAAAATGGGGTACGATTCCTGCCACTGACACCAACAATGGGACTCTATTCCTTCCACTGACACCAACAATGGGGCACTATTCCTTTCGCTGACACCAACAATCAGGCACTATTCCTTCCACTGATACCAACAATAGGGCACTATTTCTTCCACTGACACCAACAATCAGGCACTATTCATTGCACTGACAACAAAAATGGGGTACGATTCCTGCCACTGACACCAACAATGGGACACTATTCCTTCCACTGACACCAACAATGGGACACTAATCCTTCCACTGACACCAACAATGGGGCACTATTCCTTCCACTGACATGAACAATGGGACATTAATCCTTCCACTGACACCAACAATGGGGCACTATTCCTTCCACTGACACCAACAATGGGGCACTATTCCTTCCACTGACACCAACAATGGGGCACTATTCCTTCCACTGACACCAACAATGGGGCACTATTCCTTCCACTGACACCAACAATGGGGCACTATTCCACTGCCATCAACAATCAGGCAGTATTTATTGCACTGATAACAAAAATGGGGTACGATTCTTCCCACTGACACCAGCTATTTCTCCCCCTAATATCAAAGATCGGGCATTGTTTACTCCCACGGCCCTCTCACAGTCTAAAGAACACTAAACTGGCCCTTTTGTTAGAAACTTTGTAGACCCTGCTCTAATGTATTCAGTTTAGCATAACAAAATGATCATAATCAGCTTTTCTCAATCTTTTAAACCTGGAGGAACCCTTGAAATAATGTTTAGGTCCCAAGAAACTCCTCCAAAAAATCATTCTACTAACAGCTCGTGGTACATTATCATGAGAAGTAAGTTGCAGAAAGTTTAAATACAAGAAAAAAATTTGAGTATCTGACACCTTGTCCAGGTATTATTTTAATACCCACCTTCTGTATACAGCAAAATGGTTTTCATTGACCTCCCTGGCGGTATGATTATTTCAGATTTTTGGTGCTGAAAGCGGTACCATTATTTTGCATGGAAATTTGGCATTTTATATTGTAGGCCTGTAATTCTTAGGAATAACTCACTGAAATCTGTCCGAACAAGAATCTAGTAAACATCTCGGGTATGATAAAACTTGAAACACGAAATCATAAATTATAATTTAATAAATAATCATAAAAAATAATAATATAATAATATTAAATTTAATTCAATAATATAATCAAACCAAAAACACTGAAATTTGAAATAGAGCGCCAAGTTCGCACATCACTGATCTTAGTCGCAAAATCGTTTTCAGTGTCTGATGACGAATTTCCCCACGAATCATTATCACTCAATTCTGCAAGTGGTTCTGATTTACTATCGCTGTTCTCTAGCTGGTCAAAAATCACTTTTGACATAAAGGGACGCTTTTTGGATGCCATGGACATTTATCAGTTTCCAGGCAGAAAGAACAGTCAAAATGCAGGCAGGGCACAGGACAAAGCACTCGGGACAAAATGTATGTGAAATGGTTTGATACAGTAATGTTTTACTATGTTATTTTAGTGAATTTAGTGAATGTCACTTTTTGTCATTTTCAAATTTCCCGCCCTTCCGTCCCCCGTACGTCCTGATGTCGCAGGGGACGGAACCCAGAAGACAGATGCCGGCATCGGCCGGAGGACATTACAGGGGACACTGCAGGAGCGCAGGACAAGGTAAAAGAACAGATCCCGGAGCAGCGCCACATGGTAAGCCCGAGTGTAGCTCGGGGTTACCGCTTCTGGTACTGAAACTTTACCCCGAGCTACACTTGGGAATACCGCCAGGGAGGCTACAGCAATAAATTTCAAATATGTGCCCCCTACAAATTAGTAAATTAGTGAAATATAGCAAATGTGTTTGGTCTCCCCAGTAAAACATTCACAGCACACAGTTAACACTTTGATTGCCCCACCCTTTACCCACTTCCTTTCTCATTAAAGCATCAGAAAAACAGCACATAACAGATTCATGATGAGACATAGTACATGCAGCATGAATAAAGCACATTGCAAACATTATGAAACATATAAAACAAAAGAAATATATATGTTAATCCGTTGAAGAATAAACTCACTTTTTCGGATAATTTTAATTATTTTCTTGAATTGATCAACCTCCCTTAACTTCAGATCAGACCATCTTTTTCTCAGTTGATACTTTGTTCATTGAACTCCGTATTTCCTCCAAAGGACTTTGAGGATTTTTCCCATTATTGCATCCTTCCTTTGATTGGTATTATTGTATACTTGGAGCTTGCATTCATAATCCTTCTGGAGCAGGATTCT